ACATGCCCTTCCTTTCCAGCTTTCTCTAGACTTTCTGCGTATCTTTTCATAAAGGTATTTCCTAATTTTCTTAACTATAAACAAACAAACAAAACCACGATGACTTTAAGGTCATTCTTTAAAACAAGAGCATACTTACAGATTTCAGAGCCACCCAAAGGTTACAAGGTTTAGAAGTCTCAAAGACCAATCTGTGTCACGTGACTGGAGTGATGTGCCAAAGTTGTTAAAATATTGCCTTCAAAATGACAAAAGCTGCCCTAGCTGGTTTGGGTCAGTGAATAGAGCTTCTTCCTGAGGTTTGATTTCAGCCAAAGGCACCTATCTTGGTTGCAGGCTCCTCCCCAGCCTTGGTCCTGGTCTGGGCTCCTGCAGGAGGCAACCAATCGATGTGTTTCTCTCACATCAATATTTCTCTCATTCTTTCTCATTTTCACTCATTCTATGAAATCAATTGAAAAATATGCTCAGGTGAGGATTAAAAAAAAATAATAATAACAGCCTCCCATGTAAAACCCAGTAAGTCCTCGAAGTGTCTACAGTTCCCAGTTCAATTCCTGGCCAAGGGCACATACCTGGGTTCCAGATTCAATCCTTGGACGTGGTCCCTCTGGGAATGTGCAGAAGGCAGTAGGTATCCAAAGAAGTCTCTAGCTCTCTTCTTGTCTTCCTCCCTCCCTCTCCCCTTAACTTCCTTCCTCTCTCTCCCCCACCCTTATTCCCTCCCTTTCCCCTGCCTTTCCTCCCTCTCTCTCCCCTCCCCTTCCTCCCTCCCTATCCCCAGCCCTTCCACTCTCTCTAAAAATCAATGGAAAAAAATACCTTGGGTGAGGATTAACAACAACAAAAAGACAAAATCCAGTTAATCTGTCAAAGAAAGCACTCTTCCATAACAGATTAAGATTTTTAAAAAAAATAAAAAAATAAAAAAAAACCTCAGGGAACATAATTTCACGTTTTCAAAGACATTTGTTAGAATCGCTAATTGATAAAACAATCCTTTCTATCTTTTAGTAAGTTACAAATAAAAGTCATGCCCAGCAGTATGGTTCAGAGGTTGAGTGTTGTCCCAGGGTGTCTCTAAATTTGACTCCTGTGTTGCAGACTTAATTCCCATTATGGGGCATGTAGGAGGCAGTTGACTGATGTTTCTCATCAATGTTTCTATATCTCTCTCCCTGTCTCTGAAATCAATAAAAACTTATTTAAATTTAAAAAGTAAAATTAAATTAAACCCATGGTGTATAGAAATTTAGATAGAAAGACAGCCTATGAGATCTGGTTTGTTGTAAAATCAGTGATTTCTTGATCAGATTATGTGTATAAAGGTATATTTAGGGAGATTTAAAAATGTGTGAAATTAATTCTATTTAATGTCCTGTGAAATATAATCCTTAGAAAAAGTGGGTGTGGCCTTTAGAGACTCTATAGTAGGGGTGTCGAACTCAATCAGAGAAGGGGCCAAAATCTAAAATCCAGCCTAAATCGCGGGCCGAATGGTTTACTGAACAGTCATAAACTGTCATTGTGATGGAAATGCAGCGGAGTGCAGTGATGACAGCGCGGTGCGGGCCACATTGCAAGGCCTGGCGGGACGGATTTGGCCCGCGGGCCATGTGTTTGACACATGTGCTCTATAGCATCAGCCCTAGACTCTCTAGTTCAGTTCTGCTCAAGAGCATGTGCCTCAGCTGCAGGCTCAGTCCTCCAGACCTGAATATCTCACTGTGATGTTTTTCTCCCTCCCTACCTCTCCCCGATTCTTTTCATTCTCTCTAAAAGTCAATGGGGAAAATGTCCTCAGGTAGGATTAACAAAATGTCCTCAGGTAGGATGAACAAAATGTCTGAAATATAATCCTTATAAGAAATAGGTGTGACCTGTGGAGACACAATAAAAAGACACTCAGGGAGCCCAACACTGAGTCTTCTCCAGAACAGAGTGTCTTGAGAACTCACCTGGTGGGAAGACTTCTGGAAGAGACTGCCACCACACAGAAAGTCTTGAACCCTGAGCTGACCTCTTCCTATTTTTCCTGCTACGGAAAGCCCTGGAGACCCTGGATCTGCTCCTTAGGCCATATTGGGGTTTCTATAACTTTCCTAAAGAACAACAAAAGAATTCCTAATTTCAATTAATCACCAAACTAAGTTTGTTTCTATCAAGTAACGTCATTTGCCATCTTAGTGAAAATTATTCCATGTTTGTTTGGCATCCTGTTTTGATGAATTCATCCTGTATTGGAATGAATATTAACTTTTGTTATCTCATATATTCCTTACTTGTTCCTATGGTTCGTAAGGATTTAGAAAGTAGTGCCCAGGTATCTTGTGGATTAATACATGGCATAGATTTAAAAACATGTTTTAGGAATGTTTGATTCTATATGCATTACACATTACAGTCTCCTCTGTATACAGTGAGAGGTATAAGTTACAAGACATATAACTAGATAACACATTCAGTGATTTAAGGAGATTATTGTTTTAAAGTTAAATAAATGTTTGAAGAAACATGAGTTTTCTGACTTACATTTTAAAGAATGTAGGTCATGATTGGGCCTGCAGAAAGTGACACTGAGCATATAAGAAATATGAGGAGTTTGGGGGCCATCTATATAACTAATAAGGACATGAGGACCCAGTTTTAAGTGAAATGCATTTTTAAAAGTATGCTTTAATGTTTGGTACTGATTATTATTATTTTAAATATGTTTTTATTGATTTCAAATAGGAAGAGAGAGTGAGAAAGAGATAGAAATATCAATGATGAGAGGGAATGCCTCCTGCACACCCTCTACTGGAGATCAAGTTCACAACCTGAGCATGTGCCCTTGACCAGAATTGAACCTGGGATCCTTTAGTCAACAGGCCAAGGCTCTTACCTACTGATCCAATCAAGCTAGGGCAGTGCTGATTATTATTAGTAGTAGCAGGGAAAATGGCAAAAGTGTTAGCCTCCATTCAGCAACCTCGGTTCTTGAGTTCTGGCTAAGAGAAGAATTCAGAGGCAAGATTAAACTATATTGCCGAAACCGGTTTGGCTCAGTGGATAGAGAGTCAGCCTGCGGACTGAAAGGTCCCAGGTTCGATTCTGGTCAAGGGCATGTACCTTGGTTGCGGGCACATCCCCAGTAGGGGGTGTGCAAGAGGCAGCTGATCAATGATTCTCTCTCATAGATGTTTCTAACTCTCTATCCCTCTCTCGTCCTCTCTGTAAAATATCAATAAAATATATATTTTTTAAAAAAGATTTAAGCTATAAGAGAAAGTTTATTTAGAAATTCACAGTGGTAGACAAAATGAACCATAAAAGAATTGGGCTCAGAAAACATATTACTTCAAAAAAAGAAAAGAAGAGTCCTTTGACATTAGTGGGGAGGGTTGGGGGAGGCACCTTGAGAAATGAAAGAGGGGTAGAGGTTTGGGCTTACTCCAAAAGGGGAAGGTGAAGAGGGGGTTTAGAGAGAAAAAGAAAGAGCAGTCTCTGGGGAAAAAAGGGGGTGGAGAAAGGCCATGCTGTGCTCCATAAAGAGATCTATGCTGGGTCCTCCATCTTGAGGGTTTTTATTATATTTTTTGCTAATCCTCCCTCAAGGATATTTTTTCCACTTGTTTGATTGATTGATTGATTGATTGATTTGAGGCCTGATGCACGAAACTGCATACAATGCTACGCCTTCCTTCCCCCAGCACCCAGGACCCAGGCATCCTTCTGGTTGCTGGCAGGCACCTGAAACCTGCGCTTCCCTCTCAGCCCGGCTTCATCCAGAGGAGAGAAGGATGTTTGGAAGAACGTCCAGTTTAATTAGCATATTAAGCTTTTATTATTGTAGATTTTTATATTGATGGAGAGAGAGAAACATCAATGGGAAAGAGACACATAAAGAGACACAGCTGAAACCAAGATGTCATCTCTAGGGCTTAATGCTTAACGGAGCGGTGGAACAAGGGCTTGTAGTTTCTGCCCCATTGCTGGGCACCCAGGGTTCTCACCCTGGTGACCCTATGTAACTGGTCCATGGGTCCGCTCTTCTCATGCCTATCCACCTACTACAATTATGATTACATCCATAATCATATCACACATAGTGCTTGATAATCATTATTGAAGACTTCAAATAAAACAATTATCTCTTTAATTTTTTGTTTCTTAGATTAATAGATATGGCTAATAAAGAGAAGAGGGTTAATAAAGCACACTGGAATTATCATGTGAGTAGAGTCTGTGAAATTCTGATGATTTTGACAATGTTTTGTTTCCTCTTCATTACTCTTAAGGTATTCACATATTGTTTTGTATAAATCAAAAGAGTTTCCAGGCCAGTGTGGTTCAGTTGGTTAAGTAGAGCAACATCCCAAGCACTTGGAAATCTCCAATTTCATTCCTGGCCAGGACATATACCCAGGTTGTAAACTCAATCCACATTGGGACATGTGCAGAAGGCAACCAGTCAGTGCTTCTCTCTCTCTCTCATTCTCTCTCTGAAACCACTTTTTTAAGCACACGTAACAAAAGAAAATATATTAGTTGGATTCCATCAAATGTGTTGGGATGTGGATTCTGAATGAGATGAAAAATCACAACCAAAATGCCTGACAATTACATAATAATGAAAATTTAGGTAAAATACCTTGAGCTAAATCAATGACTGTCATTGAGTGTTAAATAAAATATTAGAGCATGCAGGACCCAGAACCTGGAATTATAAATTATTCAAAATACCTGAAACTGAAACTATTTGGAGAAAATAAGAACTCAGCAAATTGAGGTTCTTTCTTAAGCAGAAGAAAAGGGTGCAGGAGGCGGTTAGAAATCCAAGAATAGTTTCTACAGGTTGTTGGAGCCTTCCAGTGTCTGCTTTCTGTTTGTGTCACGTGCCTATCAAGCTTTACTCTGCCCTGGGCACAGTTATTGAGTCACAACCTGAGTCACATTTTGCTTAGATCTTTATATCCCCGGGGCAGAAGAACAACTCCTGATTTTCTTCTCTCGGAAAAATGGACTCGGACATCCCAGAAAACTTCCAGAAAGAACTCACGTGTGCCATCTGCCTGAATTACTTTACAGACCCAGTCACTGTGGGCTGTGGGCACAGCTTCTGTTGTTCCTGTCTCTATGTATCCTGGGATAAAGAAGAAAGCCGTCCCTGTTGTCCTGTGTGCAGGGAACCATCGGAGCAGAACAATTTCAAAACCAATGTTATCCTGAAAAATCTGGCGTCCATGGCCAGAAAAGCCAGTTTGCAGCAATTCCTGAGCTCTGAGGATAACAGATGCGGGCTGCACCAGGAGACAAGGCAGATCTTCTGTGAAGACGACAGGAGCCTGCTCTGTTTGCACTGCTCCAGCTCTCAGGAACACGAGGCCCACAGACACTGCTCCGTGGGAGAGGCTGCTGAGGAACTCAGGGTGAGTGGTGCCCCTCAGAGCTCTTTGAATGCTGGCGGAGAGTACAGCAAAGAGATGAGGATTCTATCTTCTCCTTTTTAAGTGTATTGATACATACTATTGTACTTAAGAACCATTAATGAAGCTGTGAGGAAATGCACTGGTTTACCTGTCTTCATGGACATTGCATTTAATGGGAGAGTAATTAATTAAGGATCATCATTACTTTGATGATGCAGCATTGTACTCTAGGCACTGGAAAACTTTCATGGAAGATTCAGTGGTGTGAAAACTATAAATATAGGAAGGATTTCCAGTGGAGACTATATTTGCTAACACTGATAAAGATGTCAGAGAAAATACAGAGGAATTTGGACCAGAAAAGTATCACTAGCTTCAAATTCTGACCAACTGAGAAGTAGTTGTGCTATGTAAAATCTTGATCAGTTTCTCTAGACAAATTTCTATATTCTATTGGGTGGTTCTTCAATCTAAAACCTAAAATGTATCATTAGTGAGGGCAAATAGGAAAAAATCATGATCCTTCTCTAACGTACTTTTGTCTAATATCCCTTGATTAATGCCTTCATTTATTATCTGAAACCTAAATGTATTTGCTTCTCTGGTGCTAAAATTTATTTTATTTTATTTTATTTTATTTTATTTTATTTTATTTTATTTTACAGAGAAAGCTCTCTAACCAAATGAGATCTTTATGGGAAAAGATTCAAGAAATTAAAAAAACTCTCAGTAAAGACGGCAGAATACCTGTCTTTTGGATGGTAAGTATGAGACTGCATTTCCCTGTGAATCAGGTTGGCATAGACATGACAGGAAAAGACCTGAGAACAGTGATTTAAAGTGTGTACCTTCATGGTAAGAATTGAGAATGCAAGAGCTAGACAATGATATTGCTTTAAGTAGAAGAAAATATAACATGTTAAATTAAAAGAAAAATGAGGAAAAGAAGTAAAGAATAGAAGGAACTAAGACTGGAGAGAAAGTGTGAATCCATACCTTTTGGGAGAGAATGCACAATGGAATGATTATAGTTCTTTAGGAACTAATATAGGAGCCTGTGGTCTTAGATGGAGGACAGTAGCCCATCCATAGAGAAAAGGGCGACAAAGAAAAGGTCCCGGAGGATGGATGTCAGTGTGAGGGCAGGTGGTGAGGATTTCAGGGAGGTCTTTTCTAATGGCTTCAAACCTACGGGGAAAGAAGAGGGTGGGGAAAGGCAATGATGTGCTCCATAAAGAGCTATGCTGAGTTCTCATGCAGAAGAGTAGGGAGGTTTTGTCACCAGAGATGAATTTAGTGATGCAGAGCCAGAATGTTGCATGTTGTCACCATAAACGTCCATAGCTGGCTTGCAGTCTTGAGAAAAAGAATACAGTATAAAAGAAATTCTTAATGAGAAGCTTTTCTCCAGTTCTTTCAGGCACTCATGAAGTGGAAGGAGGTGTTTTTTTGTTTGTTTTTTTGTTGTTGTTTGTTTGTTTTTTTAAACGTGTCTTTGCTTTTAAAAAAAATATATATATTTTATTGATTTTGTACAGAGAGGAAGGGAGAGAGATAGAGAGTTAGAAACATCGATATGAGTCATCAATCAGCTGTCTCTTGCACAGCCCTTACTGGGGATATGCCTGCAACCAAGGTACATGCCCTTGACCTGAATCGAACCCAGGGCCCTTCAGCCCCCAAGCCAACACTCTATCCATTGAGCCAAACCAGTTTTGAGGAAAGGAGTCGTTTTGAGGAAAGTGTAGGATTAAGGCTGTTTGCATAGCTTATAAGAATAAAACATAAATGAAGGAAAGAGGAATGACCTGAATTTAGGGTGGTGAAACTTATTGGTAGAGAACAGCATCAGTGAATGAGATGCTGTTTACGTGGTGGAGGGTAAGGTCAGCCCTTGTAATGTGATCTAGGAGATCTATCTCTCTGCAGGCTTATCTCTACGGACGCCAAGATGAAACCAGGGCTTTTTATGAGGCACTCCAACTGGTTCTACAAGAAGAAGACAAAAAAAATTTAGAGAGACTTATTGAGGAAGGGTCAAAGTTGTCTGAGCAACTGAAGAAATATCAAGCTGAAATGATTGAAAAGAGCATAAACCTAAGAGCAATGTATGATGAGCTCATGGGCATGTGTCTGAAACCAGATGAAGAGATGCTCAAGGTAGGAACTGAGCATGTGCCTGGGAATTTTTTATATTATCAGAAGATTTTGCTTTCCCTCATTTATTTGGTATCAGAGATTGATGTCTTCATCTCCTGAATCTATGGTAGAGAGGGTCTCCCTATTGGGAATGATATAGATAAGCTGTTATTCCCCCCCACCTAATTGTAAATTAAGTGTTATGGAACTGTGATTTTGAAAATTCCCTATGAAATATATTCCTTCTTAAAAATCTTTTATTTCTTGCATTACTAAACAGAAGATAAAAAACTTATCCAAGTACTTTTAATTTTGATCTGCAAGTGGGCAATATAGAGACCTTTGGCCAAAGCTCCTATATCTTTGCTCCTATTGTTGTGATACCATTACCATTGGTTTGAGATCAAGCCGTAGGAAAGACCCTAATGCAGAAAGCTGAGAATAAGAGTAATTAGTCACTATTCTTGTGTTCTCTTTTTTCATACTCAGTGTTCTGGATTCATCAAGAACACAAAAATCGACCAAAAGGATAGTTGCCAGAATTTGGGGGGCTGAAAAGGGGATGGGAAGACAGTACAAAATATTGTGATAGGTTCCCAACGTAACAATTAATTACTAGGATTAGTGGGAGTGATCACTCTATAAGATACAAAAATATTGACTTGCTATATTGTACACCTGAAATTAATATAACCTATATAAGAATACCAACTGTATTTAAATAAAAAGATTTTAAGTATTTGAAAAAGAATTTAGATTCTGACAAAATGTTGTGTCAGTATGATCTTTAGGGAAGAAAAGAAACTGAATTTATAAGACAGTTTGCAGGTGGTGCGATTAGTATTTTTCTGAACTCCCCCAAACCCAAAGTCTGGTTGGTAAAATAACCTATTTCTGAAGAATTCTAAGCTTCTCTTTTCTTTCTTTACAGGAACTAGAAGACAAACTAAGAAGGTGATTTGGGGTTTCAATGTTAACTAGGGCTCATTAGGGATGTGAAAGATTACAACTACCTCTCACATAGTGAAGACATAATTTCTCAGATTATTCTCAATTATTTGTGTGTGCATCTACTTATGCATGTTTTGCAGAATAGGACTTCCTGTACTTTTGACCAGAAGTTAGTATTTTCCCTTCGGTGGCTGAGGGAGTATGTGTCATTAGACTCAATGAGGACTTTTCATATAGACTGATCATTTATGGTTTAATATTTCAAAGTCAATAGGAACTGAAATTGCAAAGTCTAGATTTAGTCTAGATTTTCCCAGAATTAGGTAAGACAGACAAGCACCTCTGAGAAATGGGACTGGTAGCAGGCAAAGAAAAAAGAAAAGTTAGAGATTCCCTAAGATTGGCCCAATTCTATACCATCATTGTGAACAAAAGGATTTTGATGAATGTTCAGCTGAATGGTGATGCCACCAGCAGGATTAACTGCCTCTTCCTCCTGACAGGAGTGAGCAGGTGCAGCTGGACATGCCTCAGCCTCTGAAGCCAGAACTCACTGCAAGTCCCATCACTGGACTGATGGACAGGCTCAACCCCTTCCGAGGTGAAAGTTACCCAATGGGGGACCACCTGGCAGGGTCCTTCAGTTGGGAAATGTTGTGGGTGACCTTTTCCTCTGTCTTAAACTTTACCTTGCACAAGAAAATAGTCTTCAAAGTGGCATGTATAGTCCTATGTAGTTATGGGGTCACTATAATATAGGAAAATGATAGGTGTGACTCATGCCTTATCAATAACTTGTAAATTTGATGTTACTTATATGATGATAAAAAAAATACATGCACCAAAAAGGATCCCACTGACTCCTAGAAATATATCATATAAAATGTCAATTGTTGATTGATCCATAGAAAACTGGATATCAGTTCAAGGTATTACAAATAACTGCAGTGAATTAGATTTCTAAAATATTTCCTTAAATAATTATAGTAATTAGATATATAATGTGGGTTTCAAATGATATAATATGAATTAATCACTATTGTGTAAAAAGCTAGTTGTAGAAACCAAGAATTTATGAATATGAGAATAAAATAATTTGGTGGTCAATGAGCCTACTCGTAGAGCTTAACATTAAACCTATACCTTGGAGTTTAATCTATAAGAAAGAAAGATTAAGCTTTTAGGTGGAAACATTTATCAAAGATTAAGCTTTTAGGTGGAACCATTTCCTATCCTTCATAGGAAATCATACCTAAGATGGCCTTTATGTTTCTTCTTCTTCTTCTTTTTTTTTAAAGAATAATAACTCTGTATTTTGAAATGTATCTAAATTTTTTAAAATATATTTTATTGATTTTGTACAGAGAGGAAGGGAGAGAGATAGAGAGTTAGAAACATTGATAAGAGAGAGTCATCGATCAGCTGCTTCTTGCACAGCCCCTACTGGGGATATGCCCGCAACCAAGGTACATGCCCTTGACCGGAATTGAACCCGGGACACTTCAATCCCCAAGCCAACGCTCTATCCATTGAGCCAAACCGGTCTCGGCTATGTTTCTTCTTTAATGCCAACTTGCTTACGTATAGCACCATATTCTGAGCAAGTCATCTCCATTTATTTAAAATAAAATTATTTTTCTCCTCAAGAAGGAGTGGGAGAGGTAAGATTTATTGTTATGGACTTGGTAGCAATGCCCAGGTGTCCAGCTTATAAAAAGTAACCAGCCAGAAGTAGATATGACCTTCTTCACTTTTATGATAGCCTAGTTCTAGGTCTTGGATATTTCTTTCATTTTGTGTGGGGTTTTTTTTTTTTGCTTTTTTTTGGGTGTGTGTGTGTGTGTGTGTGTGTTTAGGAGATTTGTTGGAATCATTTGAATCTGATATTTTCCATATTTTCCATTCAAACTTAGTGTTGAATTTTTTTTTTTTTTTTTTTTTTTTTTTTTTTTTTTTTGTGAGACACTAAGGTGTCCCATTCTCTCATGGACAATTTTATTTTCAACATTGATTTGTTGTTGTTTTCTTAATCCTCACCCAAGGATATTCTTTTCATTGATTTTCAGAGGAGCATGGAAGGGAGGGAGGAGGGAGAAAGAGACAGACCAAGAAAAACAGACAATAGAGACACATGTGGAATGATTGTCTCCCACATGCACTCCCACAATGGCAGAGATGAACCTGCAACCAGAGTACATGCCCATGGTCAGGAATCAAACACTACAAAATTTAGTCCATGGGCTGATGTTCTTATCACTGAGAAAAACTGTCGAGGGCTTAACATTGATTTTGACTGGAATATTCTCCTTTCTTCACAGTGCAAGTTTCCTTCACTGGTGAAATAACCCCTGAGAATATACGGTTGTTTGATGACGTGAGAAGTCTGAGGTTTATGGGTGATGGTCTACATGTATCTCTGGATCCTGGAACATCTAACTCTTTTGCTGCATGGGGAAACCGTGTCTTCAAGTCTGGCAAGCATTATTGGGAGGTGTATGTGGACAAGTCTTGGGACTGGGCTGTAGGGGTACGTAAGGAACCCTGGATGGAGACCAATGGCACATTGACTGAATGTGAGGACACCTTTCTTCTTATACATGTGAAGGAGGATAATCATACGGCTCTCTGGAGCACTGCCCCGATGGCTCGTCAATACATACAGAAACCTCTGTCCAGGGTCGGTGTGTTCCTTGATGTTGACAATAGAACTGTAAGTTTTGTGGATGTTGCGAGGTGTTCTCTCATTAAGCATTCCCTCATTAGGCGTTCCCCATTTCAGGATTATGTAGGTGACCTGTGTAATAACAGTTTCAGACCTTACATTTCACTGGCAACTCATGAGTAGGGCTAAATTATGAACCTGCTTATGTGATTGGGATGTCTGATCTGAGGAAGCCCTTTTTAGTTGAAGCCTATTAATGATACATTATTGTCTTTTATTCTTCTTCTACTTTAATGTAAACTCTTTGTATTCAGAATAAAGATAAGGTGAAATGTAAAATTGTGTTAATTTTCTTTTTTTGTCATTAAAATCATGCTTTATGGCTTTTTATCAAGAATATATGTACAGTAGTATTTTGCCTCTTTTATGAACTTGCTGGAGTCACCAAAATATTTATCATTATGCAATTACTATTCTTGGTTTGAATCTAGGAATGCAGGATTTTTACATACTGGATATGCCTGGTTATCTACATGCCATGTCAGTCTGCAACTTTTTCTCCTTGGTCTGGTCACTGCTGCAAGTTTACTTACCCTCAGGGGGGAAAGTGAGCTGACAAGGAAGTTTCTGCTGACTAGGATAGGCCTTCATTTTAGTGAACCTAGAATAGCTTGAATAACTTGTCCTTTTTTCCCCCCTCAACAATAGAATGCATTAGTTAGGGCATCAGGGGCACTTAGCAAATCTTTGGAAGGATACATTAGTAAGTTACCTTACTTGAAAGGAGTTTTGCTATAAATTTTCAGGATTTAAAGTTAATCTGAAAAACTGATTTTAAAAACAGAGTTTAAACCCCATTGATTTTTCCCTTCTGTGATAAAATGGTATTTCTATGTGTGAGACAGCCACTATAGAATCTCTATTATGATAGAGACTAGGTGTGTGTGTGTGTGTGTGTGTTACAATCTGAGTAGTCATACATCATTGTAAATTCAGCAGTCCTTGGTGGTCTAGTGGTTAGGATTCGGCACTCTCACATCATTGTAAATTCAGTTAGCATCATCACCTGGGCCATGAGTGGTGGAATGGAAGACAGAAGACCAAAATGCACACATAAGCTACCTCCTATCTCTCCCCACAAATCGGTTGTTGTTTGAATTGTTCTTGTCCCACAATAAATAGCAAATTCACCACTGCATTTCCTGAATATATTGTTAGAAATTAATCAACGATGATTAGCTAAATCAAGGTAATTTTTTAGACTTAAAAAAAAAAGACTCAAATTTAGCAGACGAAGAGCTTACATTTATGGAACTCAACGTGTGATTTTCCTGTAAATGTGCTTCCTGTATTTTACATATGGAGCCATAATCCAATATTTCTGATAAAGAAACTAAGTCAGGCCGAAACTGGTTTGACTCGGTGGATAGAGCATCACCCTGCAGACTGAAAGGTCCCAGGTTCGATTCCGGTCAAGGGCATGTACCTTGGTTGCAGGCACATCCCCAGTGGGGAGTGTGCAAGAGGCAGCTGATCAATGATTCTCTCTCATCAATGTTTCTAACTCTCTATCCCTCTCTCTTCCTCTCTGTAAAAAATCAATAAAATATATTTTTTTAAAAAGAAAGAAACTAAGTCATATGATGCTGCTATTGAGTAGTGATTTGAATTAAGGTAATAAGTAATCTCTAATGTCTGTGCTCCTACCATTGCTATGTGTTGCATCTCAAAAATACATGTTCCTAAGGAGAAAATGCAGAAAATGAACCAACCTTCCAATGACTGTTGATTAGTCAAAATACCTAATGCAAAGAAAGAGTTTATTCTAGGACCTAATATAGAATAGATCTTAAATAAATATGTACTGCCAATATTTAAAGTTTTTCATTCTTTTATAAAAATACATTTTTATTGATTTCAGAAAGGAAGGGAGAAGGAAAGAGAGATAGAAATATCATTGATTGGCTGCCTCCTGCCTGTCCCATACTGGGGGTCGAGCCCTTGCCCAGTTCCCTGACCCGGAATGGAACTGTGACCTCCTAGTTCATAGGTTGACACTCAAGAACTGAGCCACACCAGCTGGGCAGGTGGTATATTGCTTTTAAAAATATATATTTTATTGCCAAAACCAGTTTGGCTCAGTGGATAGAAGGGTCCCACATTTGATTCCAATTCTGGTCATGGGCACATGCCCGGGTTTCAGGCTCGGTCCTGGTAGGGAGCATGCAGGAGGTAGATGACCAATGATTCTCTCATCATTGATGTCTCTCTCTCTCTCTCTCTCTCTCTCTCTCTCTCTCTCTCTCTCTCTCTCTCTCTCTCTCTCTTTCTCTCCCTTTCCCTTC